TTTTTGTATTTTTAATTTTCCGGTGATGTTAATTTTTATGTGTCTGTGTGTTGTTTGGAGGTTAGCTTTTGGAATAATTTCGTGTTTTGTATTTTATCTATTTGTTGTTTAGTCTGTGTCTAAAGGCATATATTTGTGTATCTATCTGTGTGTGTATTTTATCAATATTTTGTCTATTTGTTGAACACATTGAATAACAGTTATAAAAACTTGTGTATTTATTCAATAAAATATCATACTTTTAATTATTAATATTTTAAAGTAAGGAGATGCTACGGTCTCGTTACGGAACCATTCTCTCGAAGTTTGTAACCGTTAGATCAACTATTCTCGACTGTCACAAACCCCGACATAATGATTCCGTAACAAGACCGTAGTATTTTCCTTTAAAGTATGACATTTAAGTGAAAAATATATTGAGGTTGGCTTATTTGGGCTAATTGTGGCCAAAATTATTGAACAAAATTGTCATATGCTCTAAGTTACTCGACATATTTTGCATTTTTTTGATAATTTCTATTTACCTGTGAAATAAATTGATCAGGGTTAGTTAATGTTAAAATAATCTTATTCTATTCATTATTGTGTTGAGAAAAAAAAAAAAAAACACTAATCTCTTGGCAGCATATATATAAATGTTGTATTATATGATTTTATATGAATCTGAATTTTAATTTATAGCAGCAAAATTCAAAATATTTATATGGTCAGATAGTTGGCTGCCCAGTCAGTGTGTCGAAGATGGCCAATAATATATGCATAATTTTATTTATTGCAATTTAGTAAATTAGTTCATGGGAGTGGTTGAAAATTAAGTAGAAGAAATTTGGAATCTAATGTCCACGGATTTCATGTGGAAACACAATGTTTTGTTCGTGGGAATATTAGGGATTGATTACCCGTGGGATTAAACTTAGACCTTTTCCAACCGAACGTCATATCTCATTTTTTGCAGCAAAATTGCTCCACCCGAACTCCATATCCGATCGCAAAATGCGTTACCCCTCTTCTCTCTCCTCAGTTTGCTGCAAATTTGCGTCCAGACGCATTCTAATGCATTCAATCTTTTTTTATTTCAATTTGGTCCTTCAATTTTATTTCTTATTTATAATTGACCTTATCATTTTAAAAATTAATAATTCAACTTATTTTTAATTTGATTTAGAATGCTAAGATAATATGAATTGGATAAATAATTTAAAACATACTAAATTTTTTTTTTTTTTTTTTTTTTTTTTTTTT